CTTAACATTTTGCACACATAAAACTTATAATTTTATTCTTGTTAACTAAATAAACTCTCTAATAAACAGCGTGTCAAATTGATTGGATTTAAGTCATAGCTACTGTTTCTCTGACTTTAAATCATAGTTAACTTATTCGACGAAAAGAGTAACGTTAACAATATTAACTGGAAAATCTTGCTTTGTATTGTGAAGAGACTCAAATCTTTACAATGAGTTTTCTCAGCTAAAATATTATTAATATTTTGAGTTATTGTAAATACATATAATATATTTTTAACAATAATTCTGTTAACATAATTCATATTTTATGAATTTACCTTAGGTATTATTCTATATAAATGGGCGTTTTTCTCTTTAAGTTCTTCTAAAATCAAATTTTCATCCTTTGTATCTTCTGATTTAATATTTCTTGAACTGTGCGATTTATAATATAAGCGATGCATCTGATATGATTTCATTAATAATAAAAATTAATTTGATTTTACTATAAGTTCGTTTAAGAGTCCTTAAAAAAGTATTATTATTCGCAGCATTATCGACTGTGATTTTAAAGATCTAATAATAAGTAATTAACTTATTAAATTTATTATATAAAGTAAAAATAAACTTATCACTTACCTTGGTTACTATTTTTTTATCCTGAAGAAATTTCACAAATACTTGTGCTAAATTTTCACCTAAATGAGATCCTTCAAGATAAACAAAATCTACAAGAACATCTTTAAAATTTCAGTCAAAATCAATATAATAAGCTATTATACTGAGAAATCTAATAATATTAGGTGATGTTTACTCATCTAATATGAAGCTTATTTTTCCTGAATTGTTCTTTAATTAATGGTAAAGTTTAATTAAATAATAATTATAATTTGTAAATATTATAATTTATTTTACTAATTTGTAATATATTTTGTAAATTCATTTTATAGTTATTATATAACTTAATAATATCATTTCTCACTATATCTGCTAATAGAATATATGCTATCAGATTGCAAAGTTTTATTAAAATATGAAACTTAAGTAATTCAATAATAGTGAATAATTAATTATCAGAAATGACACATTTAGCAAGTTTTTTTCAAAAAATTTTATTAGAAAATATTTAAATAGAATGAATATAATAATTAAATAATTTACCACTTTAAGGTAATGTAAAAATAAAATAAATTATATTTACTATTTTATCATTTGACTGTAGAAATATTTTCATAAGTTCTGCTTGTTTCGCAATTTTAAAATCAATTTTCTCCAAATGTGACTTAAGATGACAATTTAAGTTACAAGTTGAACTTTTACTGCTCATATTAAGTTGATTTGTTTGTATTACCTTTATTTAATTTAGAAATATATTGTCTAAGTAATTCTATTAGCATAGGTAGACGATTTTTGCACTTGGGATAATTTGCTTTCAATTGTCAATGTTTTGTTCTCTACAGTTAGAGCATTATTTGTCACAGTAGTTATTTGATCCTAAATTATCTACGAAAGAATTACATTAGTTATTGATGATTTTTCTCTATATAATAACTTCAGAATTTCAGTAAGATAAGTGTGTAATTTTTGATTTATTGCTTCTTGCATTTCAGATGTAATCTCAAAAAGATTTTCATAATATAATTAACTAAAAGAATTAAATACCTAAGGCGTATTAGTATACTGAATATGATTCTGAAGTTTTATATTAAATGTAATAAAATTAAGCTAAGGGAGAAACTATAAAAGAAATTAGAAGAATTAGTAATGATATAAAATATCACTATGTTATTTCCTCAGTCTAGATAATTTTATTATCCCTCTGTTCATTATAAAAAGCTATAAACAAAAGTCCTTCAGGTAGAGATTCTTCTCTTTTAGATAGTTCGTCTAGCCAGTTTTAAAAATGAGAATAACGTTCTGAGCATGTAATATAACTATTAACATTAATAATTATTTTTGATCATGCAATTAAATATTTAATAGTAGATGTCAAAAGATTCACTTCAGATACATATTTTTCATATCTAGGTTTGTATATTAAGTCGATGGCTATTGTCCTTTTATAAATTTTCTTAGCATTTAAAAATCTGTATTAAGATATTGTGAATTAATGTTTCTATGAATTTTACAACAACTTGATTACGTTTACTTAGCTTCATTTATAGAGAATAACTCAATAGATTTTCTAAAGAAAACCTATTATTATCTCTGATCAAAAATTCAATATTCTCATATAAAAATTCTCATTTGATTAATGCTATATCAATAATTGCTTGTATACGCTTATGCTGATCAGAATATTAGAAATTCTATTATTTGACAAGGTTTTCATTCTTTTCACATTTTTTAATATATAAACCCTTTAAATTATTTATTTTATTATAATATTTATCTATCATATTTTCAATTCTAACATTTCTTGTCTTTGATCTTTTATTTATTATTATAATTCTGCAATATATTTACTATTTTCTACTTGATCTCTTTTTAGTAATTCTTCAGTTCTTTCACCTTCTAATAGGCATGAAACTTCTGATAAATGTAAAACTTCTGATAGGTGTAAAACTTTTGATAGATGTAAAATTTCTGATAGGCGTAATTTATTGTTAGCTATTACTTCTTAATAGACATTAGAATCATACGAATTATCATTATCAATCTGAATTCTTTTATTTGTATGAATAGAATTGTCTGAAATCTGTTGATAAAAATGGTCAGTAGATATAATTTAGTTGTAATATTTTTCATAAATCGAATAAGAATCTAGAGAAAAATGAAGATTTGTAAGTTCAGGTATAAAATTATAATAAAGTGCAAGCTTCTTAGCTGTTTTTTCAATATTAGCATATCTTCAAGTTTGTTTCTCTTTTATTACATAGGATTTTAATCCTAATTCACTATATTTACTAACTAGGTTAACAAATAAATATGGAAAATCTTTAGCTCTTTGTCTTATTCTAGCTAGTTTATTATATTGCAACCTTTTTCTTGAATTCTGACAATAAAATTTTTTTAAAAGGTTAATTTATTAAATTTAAATAAAATTTAAATGCAGTTTCTTGTGTTTTTTTAATTTTTATTTACTTTTTCAAAAAGAACTGATTATGAAAAAGTATTAGCTGATTATGAAATTTTAAAGTTTTAATTCTCTTCAGATATATGCTATTAATAAAGATCAACATTAAAAAGTTTCACAAATCTTGGTCAAAAGAGATTATCGAGAGCCAATCAAAATCTAAGGATTTACTATAGAACATTCTAGAATCTATTTCCATTTTTGATAAATCCCTGACTATATTTATTGGTAATAGCTGAGTTTTACTAAATACTGTAAATATTGCATTACTAATTCATGATGTTAAAGTATTACAGAAGCTTTGATGTTATTTTAATAGCTTTTAATAAGTATTGAAAATATTAAAATTATATATAAATATTATTACATTTATATTTAAATGAGTAAACTTATAGCATGATAAATATTTTTTCATAAAAAGACATCTAATACTTTTGGATAAATTTACCAAAAAAATTCAGAATGATTTGCTGATACATATTCTTTTGTAATTTCTTATAATTCTTTTTGTATTAGATATATTGATCTAGTTAGCATCTTTTTGTGATATTTTTAATCAGATTCTATAATAAAATAATTTAAAATAATATATGATATACATCAGTACTTTTTCGTGAAAAAATATAAACTAAAATAATATAAAATAATACTTACTTTTTCAAAAGTTTTATCAATGCCTATATGCTTTGTAAAATTCTTTTTCAACTTTATGATTCTTTCCTCTAGTTTTTTTGACCTGATATTAATATATTAAGTTTAGTATTAAGCTTTATATTTTGATTTAATATCTTTTCTAACATTATTGTCAAAACTTTATATAAATAAAAAAATCTTTTTTAAAAAAAAATTATATGCATGTCTTTAAAAAATACTAAATTAGTATTTTTATATACCTTTCACAAATGACCTGTCAACATGCTTCTCTTTAGAGTTTGAGGTTTTGTTTTTTTGCTTAATCTAGCTTGTTCTTGAATTTGATGAGTTGAAACTTTTCTTCTGTTTATTTTTAATTTTTTTTGTAGCAAAGTGAAAAAATAATGAATTAAAATTAGATTTTAAATCTAAATATGATTATAATCAAGCAAGTTTTTTACTAAAGAAAAAATGTAATATTTACAATATGAAAAATAGAAAAAATGTATTTATTTTAATTTTTATTTCACAATAACAACATTTTTAAAAGAGACTAAAAAAATACAAAAAAAAAATACAAAAAAAGTCAAAATTAAATAAAATATTTTTTAGATTCTGTTAATTGTCTAATTTTATAATAATTCTATATCTATATTACAAAAATTTCTATTTTTAAAAAAAAAGAGAGAGAAAGAAAAGAAAGAAAAAAAATGGTAAAAAAAAATATGAATAATATGACATAAATAAATAAAATATGTGAAATATATAAAATTACTATTTTTGTAAAAATTTAAACAAATTATGTATAATAATGCAATCAGTAATTAAGAGTTGCATAATTAATGCTAATAATGCATATTCATGTGAAAATTATACATACATTTTTTGATCAATCAAAGTTCATTACAAAGTTTATGGTCTATAATATTTATGTAATATTAAGGTCAAAGTACTTTGCAAAATATACTCGTAATTATAGCATTGAGTAAATCATTAATTTTTATGTTTAAAAACTTATGTTATTTGATGATCTACATCAGATTTTCATATTCAAAAAAAAGAATATTATATCATATTAGTTGAAGTATTAGTCATTGAATATTTTTTTTTCGCATATTTAAATCTACACTTTGATAAAATATTTTATACATTAGAAGATTTTATATATTAAAATAGATTGAAAATTGATTGTAGAATCAAGTTTATTAAATAGTATTATAAAGTAAATATTAGTTTTTCAATTAAACAATGTATAATGTATGATAATTTATTTTAAAAAAATATAATATAAAAAAAACAAAAAAAAAAAATATTAAAAATACAAAAAAAAATACAAAAAAAAAATAAAATTAAAATAAAAAAAATAAAAAAATAAAAAAAAAGATTGCAAAATTAAAATAAAAATAAAAATTAAACTAAAAAAAATAAAAAATTAAAAAAAATCACAAAATTTAAAATTAAAAATAAAAATAAAAAAAATTAAAATTAATCTCTTCTATCTTTCTTCTTACATCAGTAAATTTAATAATGCGAAGTATTACGTAAACCCTATGCTTCGTAATCTTACGTAAGGTTACGAGCCCG